CAACATTCGTGGAAGATTCGGGTCGGCCATCCCCGTAAGAACGTGTAACCCGAACTAACCCGCGGTGCACGGATCAGCCGCCAGCGCATTACACTCTCGCCCTCCCTGGAGAAATCATTGGAAATGCTTAAATCCTGGAAGCTGCGGGATTTGTCGGGAGCGATTTCATTTCATATGTCTTTTTTTAAGAGATGGGAGAGAGAGAGAGAGAAGGAGAGAGTGAGTGGTTATGGCTGCGTGGTTGGAAGGGTGGAAGGAAGGAGAGATGAGAGAGAGAGAGAAGGAGAGAGTGATGGCTGCGTGGTTGGAAGGGAGAAGGAGAGAGAAGAAGAGGAGAAGGAGGAGAGGAGAGAGGAGAAAGAGGAGAAGGAGATGGAAAGGGAAAAAAGAGTGAGAGAGGAAGAGCTGAAGAAATAGTGAGAGTAAAAATGCGAGAATTCGGGGGCGTAAGAATCAGGAAGAAAAGTTGAGGGAGTGAGAGTGAAAGAGTGAGAAAGAGTGAGTGAGTGAGATAAAAGAAAATGAGAGTGAGAGTGAGAGGGAGACTCAGTAATGTAGGAGAGAGAGGGAGAATCGGGAAGTAAGAGTAAGTGACACAGTCAGAGAATTAGATAGAAAGTGAAGTGGAATTGAGAAAGAGATTAGACTAAGAGTCCGAGAGAGCAGAGAGAGAGAGAGAGAGAGAGAGAGAGAGAGAGAGAGAGAGAGAGAGAGAGATAAGAGAGAGAAAACAAGAGACTAAAGAGACAGTAGATACTAAACACAGTAGAACTACAAGACACACACACACACACACACACACACACACACACACACACACACACACACACACACACACACACACACACACACCACACACACACACACACACACATGCGCGCGCGCGCGCGCAAATGTAAACAACCAAAAGTACAAAGAACCAACGAAAATACACAACACCAACAACAATGAGCTAAAAACACAACCCACACCTACATGAACTGTATCTATGGCATCTAAGACTACCCAAGAACCAACATCACACGACATAGGGTTAAGAAGACCCTGGATTCGAAGGCAGATGCACAGTCCCCTTCCGAGATGATTAATTAGATGGTCAATTATCTCCTTCAGTTGGCGTTACATGTATAATTCAGTTGTAGATTTCCATTTGTTAGTCAGATTCCCCACCGCGATGAATATCAGAATAATTAGAAATCGGTGGCTGCAATATTTATATTTCTTTGATAGAGGAATTAGTGATTGATAAAGACTGTAATGACGACGGATAACATTGATAAAGATTGTAATGACGACGGATAACATTGATAAAGATTGTAATGACGGATAACATCATAAACTAAAGGAACAACAACAATAATGATAATGATTATGATAATGATAATGATAGTAATGATGATAGTGTTGATATTACAATAATAATGATACTGATAATGATCATGGTAATGATAATAATGATAATGATAGTAATGATAGTGTTGATATTACTACTACTACTCATAGTTGTAGTAGTAGTAGTAGTAGATAATGATGAGATGATGATGTCGAGATGATAATGATAATAATAATATGCACCTCATATTTCGCTAGATTGCACGAGTGAGCATATCAAACGAGGCTAACAAGTGTCATTCATTCTACGTCTGCAATATTGTGTGATGTTTGGACTTTGAAGCTGAAGTGATGACAATGTTGACTCGTGGATGATGTATGCATGGAAAAAGGACAATAATTTTCTTCATTTTTATTTATTATGCTTATTTTCTTTTTGGGTGTGTGAAGAGACTGTGTATTTATTTAATGTAGGTTTGTTTTTGTATTTACGTATCTCTGTCTCTTAAGTGTTTGAGAAAGAGGAAGAGGAGAAAGA